TACATGGCAAGAGGACTTACTTTACTTATTTGTTTATTCTCATCATGAGGAAGCTCAGTCTGAACACAAGAATAAGCACCATAGAACTGTAGAAGAGGATTTCTTCATCAGGAATAGATGAACAAACCCTTGCAACCTTGTTGGGTGAAACTGCTCCTGTTTGTTAGGTTTTCCAGAAGAATTAGCGTAAAAGAATGGTTGCAATAATAAGGTCTTCTGAAAAAGTAGGGTTTCCTGTTGAGTAATCCAAGGCTTTATTGTTTCTCAGGAAGCAGAGAGCTGCAGATTCTTCAAAAGAAAAGAATCAATGCACTAGCTAGCACAGACGAATAGAGTAACCATTAACACTTAGTATTAATTTCTTGACATGCCTCTAGAAGTGTATTTATTGCCCCAAGAATTCCCCAGTGATAGTTTTCTGACTGTTCTTGTTTGTTCTGTGGGATTAGAGTTTATTGATATGAGGTATAACTTGAAATATATGAGGATAAGAAACAGTTTATTTAATTTAAATAATTATTTTTCTTTCTTCTTGTTAATTGCCTATCTAAATCTATGAAGAATCTAATAAATAGAAGTCTCAATCCAGGGCCCATAGAGGTAGAAGTGGAAATGTTTGCCTTTAGTCAGAGTTAAGACAGTGAGCTTTTGCGAATAACAAAACATACCCAAGCACTGTGATCACAGGTCTTTTTGATTGAAGCAGCACAAAGATCAGCTTGCAAATATCTAATGTGAGTGCACTGCTATTGTGGAGTCTGCTAGAGTGGCCAGAACCATTATAGTGTGAGTAGCAGAACAGAACTGGCCCAAAATTTCCCACAGCCTGACCCAAACTCAGCAACATCTGCTGGAAGGAGAGCTAATATTTCAAGAGGATAACTTAATCTTCAGATGCTTGCCTTGAAAATTAATGCTCAGTTTTGTTAGTGCAGTACAACAATGAACTCTTCTGCAGTGGTGACAGCTTCAGAGTGATGGCTATTTCCTGCCCATCAATGTCACCTGAAAAGTTTTTAGTGAGCTACTGCAGTAAGAAAACTTACAAGAACAGTTATTTTTTTAAATTATTTTCTTCCCAAACTTTAACGTTGCTAACTTTAAAAGTCATTAGAATGCTGTCATGAACAGGAGACAATACTTATGGGTCTTAATGAATGCAAATGTGGGGAGGAACCCATTTTCATCTTCTAAGAAATAGAAGGGATTAATCTAAAATGGCATACTTAATTACTCCAATCAGGTCTTCTTCAGTGAAAGGCAATAAAAATGAGAGCCTGTGATTATTTCTATATTTCTGAATTAAAATGTTGGTGCCATTAGCTAAGAAATATTTCAGTGACAGTTTGAAACAAATATCTTCAATACGCTTTCAATGTAGCTTTTAAAGCTTCATTATTCTTGGATAGTTATATGCCAGTTAAAAATTAAAAACAGATTTGCTGAGGCTTAGGAAGCCTGCATCCTTTGCATGAATGTTAATCCTCAATAAACATGCTCTTAACAATCAATTGGTTCACTCTATATGTATAGCAAGGAATTCAAGTCACAGAATGCTCATAGGATGCTTATTTTAAAGTACTATCATTTCCCTGCTTATCCTGTACTTTGTTCTCTAATTCAGTGGAAAAACGATTATTGCATAGACATAAGAAACATTTCTAATTTGTCTTTTACCAGATCTCCTCTTTGCAGATGTTAGTTTCTGACAGATTGCTCCAGTTTTATATTGAAAGTGTCTAAATAAAATATTATCAGAAAAAAAAGAAGTTTGTCAGAAAGAAAAAGTACACCTCTTCGGTTCATATGGAGAACCATTGCACGTGAACAGATCCGTATTTTCTGAAAGACATGTTTCTGCCCTGAGACTAGTGACAACTGGTTGAAGCCTAAAGGGTTCAGAATGGTCTCTCCAGACAGTGGAGGCAGATTAAAATTTGTCTAGTGCCCTGTCACAGAGAAAATGTCATAGGGCAGATTAATCGAAGGACTCACAAACAACTGCAGCCATTTGAATTAGTTGTGTCAAAACAAAAAACCTTGCTACAAATTTTTTTAAACCTTGAAGATGAAAGGTTAAAAATCCAGATCTTAATTTTCTAGCTCAGTTGATGTCCTCCAATATCTAAGGCATGGGTAAAAAGTGCTTTCAGGTAGAAACCCTGTAAAAATAGATGATATCATCTTAAAGTTGGGAAAAACTTGCTATTCTAGCTTAATTTAATTTTTAGTTCTTACCTTTATTTCAACTCAAAATTCAAATTAAATTAAGATCTGATAACATAAAGAATTAAGCTAATACAGACACTTAGCTAAACAGCAAACCTTCCCTCGTTCTAATTTCAGTCGTGTTGCGAGATGGAGTTTTTCATCTCATTCTGATACCAATGTATCACCCATGCCATTTTTCTCTCAATTCTTTATACTTTTTCTGAAATTGTGAAATATTTGTGAGATATTTATGTAGAGCAATATATATTCAGTTGTATTTTTATTATTTTAAATATGTTGACGCCTTTTGACACAACTTAATAGATAGGGCATATGGTTATTCTTTCTGGCAAGTGTAAGGTTTTCAATCCCTACTCAGGTCTATGTCTAACCAGAGAGATCATTGCTATTTGGCAGAGATTATTGCTTGTCTTCTCGTAGTTCTTCTGTGCCATCTACATCTGTATTCAATATGGGCATAATTATTTTTATTTTCATCTCTTTTGATTACATTAGATATATAAATAACTTTGTATGTTTGTCTCCTTATCCCTGTAGGAGGGGAATGCCACACTGTTAAAGAGCTGCACGGAGGTAGACAGGACACTGCTTGCAGGGCCACTGTGTGAGTTGCCCCAGCAGAGTTTGGTATAATCCATCTGATCATGCTGCCTGTAAACTCTGTTAAGGTAATGGTAAAAAAGTGCCTAAAGGGTAACTCTAGAGCAAAGCTTTCTGAGAATAACAGATCTTATTGTAGAGAAATTGAAGAACCTGAAGTTTTTGCAGTCAGGGAATGCAATCCTGGTTTCATTTAAGGCAGCAAGGACTTTGCCAGTGATGCTACCAGGTGTATCTGTCCAGATGAGATGCAGGGCCCTTACTTCCAGGGCCCAGCAAACGTCTGGATATTAACAACTCTAAAGAAGAGCATTTTGTCTCTTCTAGGGGAAGGTAAGAACTCTTCACATCTGAACGATCTGCAGGAGATAGGGCTAGAGAAAAAAAATCTTTTCCCTAGACTATTTGGAGTCATCGGTGGTTATGGAGTAGATCAAGCAAATGACATAACATTTGCCTGTCAGTTTTACTACAAGAGATTACAGGCTTAGCCTGCAGTAAACTACTTTGCTTTGTCTTTCTTTCTTTCTTTTTCGTTTCCTCCCAGAATAGCTCAGACCTGAGATTCTCCAAAGCATAGTTGCTTCACAGGGCTTTTTTTACCCAAGCCCCTGGGCCAAACAGCATGTGCACCACAAGGCTGAGAATAAGCCTCTGGGCAAAATGCTAATGGTCAGGCTGGTGACCCACTTTGCACAGCTGGCAGGTGCATGCTTCCTCCAAGGCTGCCCATGCTACAGAGGAGGTCTGGGCTCTCAGGCTGGTGTGTGTGTGTGTGCACAGCTGCTTGTAGGAAGCGGAGGAATAGACCTTTCTTGTAAGCAAATTGTCCTATTAGCCCCAAATTCAAGACTGAGCTTTTATTTTCTGGTGGAATCTGAGAATGGGTGGCCCTTTGCTTCTTGAAAATGGACATTGAGTTAGGTACAGGGCTCATGTGATGATATTAATGATTGGTAATTAGTACAAGGAAATATCAGGCACATAGCCTGTTGTACAGGGAGTCATCATGCTAGACATGGTAGCTATATTTCAAGAAAATGCCTAATAGCCTGAAGGTTTTATAGTAACATTAGAAGTTTTATGATCTGGAGTAAGGTAATCAAGTCTCATGCTTTGGGGTACATGCTGATATCCACAGGAGGCAGGAAGACATTTCCCACTATGAGAGCTTTATGCAGTTGTCTGAGTCATTTCCATCTTTTCCCAGATTGACAGTAAATGGAGCCTGTTGGAGGCAGGATGCTGAAATGCATGGAGTGACCCCCAGATACCTGTGTCCCCATGTAGCTCTTAAAGAGCTAAAGATTTTAAATCCTATAGAAATGAATGCATTATGACAGGAAAGCTCCAGCAAAATGCCTTCAAAGTGAAACCCTAGGCCAGCTTTCAGTCTCTATTAAGTAGGTGAAGTGCTCATTGAATTCACTCCCAGAACAGAGAACAATACTTGGCAAGCTGCTTCTAGTGAGGAAAAATGATTAATGCTGTGTGTCAAGTGCTCGTAAAATGGTGTGGCACTTGTACACAGTGTCTTTTCTTAAGTAAGATGCTAGTCACTGCATCAAAGGAAAGCAGTGTGTTCGCAGCATCAATTTTGTTCTCCAGCTCGTAACACACTGTCATGCCAGCCAGCTTCTCTGTATGCCCATCTGATAAAGTCTGTGTTCTGTTTTGGCTGCCTCTTGCTCCTCTCCTACTTTTAATTGTTCCTGTGGCTTTTTTTCTTCCCGTTTTTGTTTTTCTTTTCACTCTCCTCTGCCCAACTGAAGGAAATAATTTGTCAGTTGTTATTGAAATTTTTACTTTGATCTTGATAATGTAAAATATTCTAATCCAGAAAGGAATATGATGCTACCACTTTGTCATTACAAAAACTGATTTTTTTTTCTCATGGGAATATCTATATAGACATATATATATATATACACACACATAATTAACAGCATCATGGACAAAAGGAAATTGTTCCAGCAAGGCAACTTTCACCATCAGTTCCATCCAAGACTTCTCACTTTTTTCTACCCGGAGCACAGTGTTTAAGTCTATTTTTCTTACGATGCCACAGTCAATGTCCCTTTTGAGCCCAAAGTTAACGTCCCTTTTAAAACCACAGTCAGTGTTTTCCCCTAGTAATACCCTATATTTTTTGTCATTATTTTTCACAGCTGTGTAAAAGTTGTGATGATGCAGATGAGGAAAAGTTTTGAAAAGCTACACCTCAGACACTGGGGTCTAGAAAAGTTGGCTCCTCAACCACTTTGTGAGTTTAATCACGAAAACTACTTAAGTTTTTGCAAAATGAAAGCTAGTCCTCTATCTGAGAGCAAGAAGACAAAGTTGTCAAATTACTCTGGGATTTCTTTTTTATTTACTGGTTAAAGGGGAAAAAACCCCCCTGTCCTCTGTTCAGTGGAAAACACAGAAGTAGAAAATGAGTAAGTTCAAATATAATGCAGACCATAACACTATTACTTTTGTCATTCTGTGTAGAAACAGCAGAACAAGGGAAAATAGTTCACAAAAAATACTACTGCTGGAAAAAAGCCTCTGGTGTTCGTCTTGGGGATCTAACCAGAAATGGTGGAGCACACAAGCTCTCAAAACTGTGCACCTCTGAGGAGAAGCAGGAAAACAAGGAACACAGCATGTTTCAAATAATGGTCCCTTGTACATATATCTCTAAAGGGGATCAAAGATGATTTGATTCTGCTTTACAAATCCTTGTGAAGTTGTCATGATCTCTTTGTTCTTCCCTAGGGTTTGAGACTAATGGCAAACTCAAGAAGAAGTCTGAAAAAGATGAGAACTGTGGATTTAAAAAAGTGGTTTGAGGCATGATTAACCCGAAACGGGAAAAGACTGAAGCTGTGACTTGTGATGCAAGGGGAAAAAAATCAGGAGGGGTGGAGTTTTAAATGGCCTTGGAGAAAAGTACAAGAACTGTTACACTCCTGCAGGAAAATAAGGAAATCTAGTAGAAAGATAACAGAAGATGATCAGAATTTTTGTTCATTGTTTTGCTTTTTGTCAACCAAAATTCTGCAATACTAGAGGGCATTAGAAGCAGAGATTATGAGAAGCACAGCTGCAGATATACAGGACACAGCTAAAAACAGCTTCTAGAGGATGTTTTATTTGCTTCTCTGCTTCAGCAGAAGACAACCGTACGCTCAGTGAGAGACTAAAAGCAGCCTGTAATCATCAACCAGTCAGTCAGACACAACTCTCCTGGGCAGAGTGAGAAAGGATGCACAGCCTGCAGATCTTCCAGCAGGTTTGAAGGTAAGAGGAACAGAGTATCTGGACAAGGAGAGAAGCATGCAGGAGGGAGATGTGAGAAGGTGAGTCTGTTTCACCTAGTGCTATTAAGGAGCCAGCTTTGTTGCCATTGCAACATCACTTGCAAAACACAAGTCCAATCCCTAATGAGCTTAACTTTAAAAATAAGAGAAAGCCTTTCTTGCTTCAGAGTACTTGTTATGTTCTCAGAATGTGTTGTTCTCTTTCCAAAAACTTTTCATCTTAAAGTGAATTTTCGCCAACCGGTCTGAGATGAAGCTCTGTGAAACAACATGGCAAAAGAACAAGGCTGCGTGCCATTCAACTTTAATAAGTCATGGGAGAAGATATTGTTTAGCCTTTCAGAGTTTATACTTTCAGATCTGTAACTGTAAGTAATTAAAAGGAGGCAAGCCATCTTGATCTGTCTATGCTCCAGCTCTTACAGGGCCCAGTGTCCTGCATCTGGCATGGCTCAAGGGTCTGAGTCCTTTTTGAAAGGGAAGGGACTAATTGGATTGGCTGCTCCTTGCTAGTGGTGCAGGCAGCTCTGTGGGCAGTGGGGAGAGTTCATGGGGTGTCCAGGCTGGCTAGGGAAAAAGAAGAACATTGCTAAACTTTTCCCTTCTTGCAAAGCAGCTTTTTTGTTTTGAAATAAATATAAAATAAAATATCTCCAATATTTTGGACCCTTGTGCAAAGCTTTGGATCCTGAAGATCTGGGCTGGGGAGTGAGTGCACATGCAAAGCCACAGCACAGCTGTGGCCCCACACCACCTTTGGAAGGCATGTGTGACCAGCAGCTGGGAGCAGGCTGGGGAGGCATGCAGAGGTGGCAGATCTCCTTAGGAGTCTGGTCTGGCTTGTAAAATGCACCAGGAAGGATCCTGGAGTTCTAGTCCACAGAGTCACCTAGGGCAAAACAAGAGGCAGGACAGAGATTTGGGAGGCTAAATCTAGACATCTTACAACAAGCAAGACTTTCATGGCAAAAACCTCTCTGAAAGGTTTACAGTACTTTCTGCACAGAGCAAAAGACAGAAGCCAAAAGACAGGGGTTTAATGTCCAGCAGAAAAGATTGTAGATGAGCAGGGACTCAGAATCATAGGAATGAGGCGTTCTTCTGTTATGCAGAATATGTATTACAGGCATATGAACTCTGTATAGACATTTAAAGACACCAAACTTCTAGCACTTGAAACAAGAACATTGTGAATGAGTTTTTAAACTGAAGAGAATTAAAGGAAGCTGGTGGGTATGAAAGACCTCACAGTCTGAGACGATTCTTTTGTACTGGATTCCATACCCAAACAGGAGACAGATTAGAACATTGATAGTCACCTAAGAAGTGGAAAACTGTCATTTGGTCTGCATGCTTCTGGAGGATGAACAATCAGGAGCAGGAGAACACACTGATGAGAGAGGTATTGACCCATATGACCAAACTCTAAATTTCACTGCGTAGTCATTTAGGCCTTCTCAAAAAGTGTGTGCTGTCTTTGTCGTCCACTGTTTGAGCTCTCCATATGATTACATGTGTAGTTGTAGTCACTGGACCTGTATACTCAAGTGGGTATGAATGTTCATTGTATATTTTTTTTTGTTTTATTTTAAGGGATAAAAATTATAGTGAAAATTTGTCATCTGAGAAGGGTTTTTTCAGTCACTGTGACTGGAAAAGCCAGGGGCAGCACACACTAAGTGCTGTTATCCACATTTTAGTATATTCAGGTACAAATACAAATGGACTCTGAATGTTCAACAACTGTTCCATAGCTGAACATACATGCTAAAGCACAGTGGAAGAAGGACTAAAAAAAGTGCCAGGTGTCTAGAGCAGTTTAAATACAACAGACTGCCTGGTTGCTGCTGCACAGTCCTGCCAGCTGTCTTCTGGGGCTTGGGTACCAGGAAAGCACTTGGGGTCAGAGCCAGAGACCTTGAACTGATGGTATCAAAACAGAGGATGATTTTTGTTAAGTCCTGAACATGGACATTTGCACAATCATTTAAAGAGGGTAAGTACTACTCCTGTGGAGGCATGTTGGTTTCCTTGGGCAAATTTGGGAAAATAATTAGGAACTTCAGCAAAACTACTTAAAATTCAGGAGGACCACTGAGACAAAACACAGGCCTAAATTAAAAGTGAAGAATACAGTATCAAAAGAAAGAAAAGCTGTCACTGGTTCATAAGAGAAAAAGGAAAACCAGGTAGTACCATCATGACAGAAAAAATATCTGTTGGGCATCAGCTATTCTTCAGGAAACATATAAAATAAATGACAGAATGAAAGAAAGTATTGACATGTAAAGTGAAGACTCCTTTAGTCACGGTGGGGGAGACTTTCTTATTAGGGTATACCTTGTTGAAGCATTAGGCTGCTGAACTTCTGGCTGAGACCGGTGGACATGATAGTTACTGTCTTTGCCAGTCAGAATAGAGAAAGGGCTAAGCTGTACTGTGAATGTCATTTGTCACAGATGAACCACCACCAGCAAAATTTATGCTTTTGGCTGGCATATCCTTCCCCAAGCACCACTGCCAGCTATATCTCCTTGCTCTGGAGAAGACAGGATTGATGATGAGCAAATACACAACAAAAATAAAAAAGGGAATACTTCTGCCTCCTTCAGGTCTATTGAAAGCTGTTCATAGTCTTGCTTCTTGCTCAGAGTATTTCAAAAAGCCTCTTCACTGTCCTCCTACAGTGAAGATCCCAACTTCTTAACCGCAATAACATGTTACATCATGAATAACTTCACTGAAGGTATTGGAACCTTTAACACTCTACATACATCATTTAAAACAGCTTACTGGCAGGAATAGTATATGTCTATTCTAGTAGGCTCTTTCAGACAGGAAAACAGAGGACTTTCATGCAAAGTCCCCACTGGGAATGATCCAGGGAATGTTCAGATGCCAGACCGTATCCAGGAATTATTTGGGGATGCTGACAGGCAGAGACCTATAGCGTACCTGGGAGCCCTCTGACTGGGAAGTGTAGAGACATTGCATTCCAGTGCCTGGGACTGTTTTGGGCACTGTCTAATTTACTAGCGTAGACATAGCCTCATTGTCCAAAGAGTTTGACTCCAGAGAGCTTCTCAACTCCAGAATCTAGATACGTGTCCAGTTCTGAGCTCCTCACTTCAGGAAGGATGTGGAGGTGCTGGAGCAGGTCCAGAGAAGAGCAACAAGGCTGGTGAAGGGACTTGAACACAAGTCCTACGAGGAGAGGCTGAGGGAACTGGGGTTGTTTAGCATGGAAAAGAGAAGTCTCATGGGAGACCTCATCACTCTCTACAACTACCTGAAATGAGGTTGTAGCCAGGTGGGGGTCGGTCTCTTCTCCCAGGCAGCTATCAGTAAGACAAGAGGGCACGGTCTTAAGCTGTGCCAGGGGAGGTTTAGGTTAGATATTAAGAAGAAATTCTTTACAGAAAGGGTAATCAGGCATTGGAATGGGCTGCCCAGGGAAGTGGTGGATTCTCCGTCCCTGGAGGTTTTTAAGATGAGACTGGATGTGGCACTTAGTGCCATGGTCTGGTAACTGCAGCAGTAGTGGATCAAGGGTTGGACTTGATGATCTCAGAGGTCTTTTCCAACCCGGATGATTCTATGATTCTATGATTCTATGATTCTATGTTCCCTTGCCTCCCAACCATGTTCTGCAGTGAGTGAAAGGCAATCTCATAATCTGGGAAGAAGACTTGGAGACACAAGTGAGAAGGGTGACTGACTGTCCAGACAACTGTGGGACTAGAGTGCTCTGGCACACATTTCATCATTAGTCACAGCTATAAGGCATTTCCTCTATTTTGTGCCTGTCCTAGACTATATAATAATGTTTGCGATAGCAGGTCTCAGTCATCATCTATTTTTCTTCTGACCGTTTTCTATGGAAAATGGCTATGTTTGCCATTGAATTCCTTCCAGAGCACTATCTAGGCATCAATGGTTCTGTAATTAAACCAAACTGTTTCAGCTCACAGGAATAACTGAGTGCAATTTATCTGAGAGGAATAATGTGTATGATCCCAATGGAAGCCTGGAAAGACTTTATTAGCATGTCAGAATAATTTCACACCTTAAGTAGAGAGGCCTAGAATAAACTCTGGAGTCATCATGAAGTGCATGTGTATTACTAAGAGCTTTGCTATATTATTTCATTGCACTTGCTTAAAAATACCCTGTATGACCATAAAGAAAATTGTATTGTTAATTGCGCATTGGACAAACACTTGAGAGTAACGTCCTGAGACCAGCAACATGACTGCTACTCTGGTTGAGAGCTGCAGAATTCATTAGAACTGCTCAAATTGTGGTAAGTAGAGGTTCATCTTCTCCCGTTGCATTCATGATGTGCTTCACACTGCTAGAGACTTTAATGGTGTTAAAAGAGGTCAGAAGGGGTTTTGAATCTCAGAACATCTGTCCATCAAGACCCACTTCTGGGGTCATGACCCCACTTTCAATTATACTGCCAGGCTTGTGCATAAAACTAAGGTTGTGACCCTCGTTTAGGAACTAGTGGCTTAAAATAAACCCTGGGAAGAGGGAATAAAAAAACCTTTGCAAAGCAGTGTATACTTGGAATGCAAGTCAAGTGTAGGGTACTTTCCAAAGAGACAAGACTAGGGTGAGGTCATGCAAACATGCAATGCATTGTATTTCTGTTTAGGTCATTCTTTTTCTCCATGAAAGAGGAAGAACTAACCATTCTTAAGACAGAGAGAATCATAGCAGCTGCACAGTTCTGCTCTACTAGATGATTTAGATCCCTGTCCTGAGTTAGAATCATCAAAGTGCAGAAGTTACACACCTAGAAGTAAATAGAAAAATTTTCCATTGAAAATGGGGAATTCAGTTGTGAAAATCAGGATGGAGTGTATGCTACAGCAGCTGAGAGTATTAGACAGTCAGAGGATGTCTGTGTGAAACACAGACAGGATCAGTACTGAATAAGGCACATGTCATCCTAAGATTTATCAGATATGACGTTTTTAGCATAGCCTGAAGATTATTCTGAAGCATCACTGGGAATTTAACCTCTGACACCTAGTACATTTTCTCCAGCAAGGTGAACTTAAACAAAATATATGCAGAGAGAATGATTGAAATGGCATGGGGATGAGAGTCCTGTCCTGCAAGGTAGAGACTGAGAAGGTTAGTGAAAGAAAGGGTGGGATTGCATTCCCTAAGTACACTGATGAGTAAAAGAAAGCAGGGGAAGTAACTATCTGAGCTCAAAGACCATGTTTCAGAGGAATAATTTTTTTCTTTTTTTAAATATGACTATGAATCACTCTGGGTTAGAAACTGAAAGAACTGGCTGTACTGCAAAGTTTTCGCAGAGTATGATGAGTCTGGGGCAAGGAACCTAACTGGTTTTAAGACACAGTTTGCTGAATGGGATTATATGGGAAGATGTATGCAGTATCAGGAAACAGGGTCCAATTATACGGACATTAAGCAGGTGACATTCTCGTCCTCAGGGACAAGAAGAATATGATTACCATTTTGCCAGTAGTGTACTCTGGGTATGGTACATCACCCAAGATGTGGTGACACATCTGGTGACACATCAGTCTCCCTAGCCTGACACTGGAACACTTACAGAAAACTAAGGTGGAGTTAGGTCTGTTGCTCTACAGCAGATTTGTCTCTAATGAAGAGGGTTGTTTTCCAGATATGAAGCCAGCATTGTGTATTGCTCAATGTCATTTTATCACTTGCAGTTATATGCAGTTCATCTCACTCTATGGTGTTTACAACTTTTAAATGTGGGTAGTCAGTCATAATAGCATTCTTACAGTGTTAAGCAGTGTCTTCCTGCCCTGTTTACTCATTTCATTTTATGTGAAACAAATGTAATTTCCTTCAGTTCTTAACTATTTTAATTTCATATACTCTTTTCATGATCAATTAACTTGTTTTTACTGAAAAGTTTACATACATTTCCAATTAAATGCTTATTCCTTTTCTACCCGCTATGGTTAAGGTGGAAACTTGATAAGGTTTACAAAAGGGATTGAAGGGTGAGAGATGCTGCAGCCTGCCTTGTGTAATTTACTGGCTTTTCAAACCAAATTTACTCTAGAGATGAAAAACAGTTCATACTCTAGTTCTTTGTAGACAATGCAAACCTGTTGTTCATACAATGCAATTATGCATCAGAGAGTAGGCAATTCTCTTAGTCTTCCAACAATCCACAACTGTTTTGAAGTTCAAGTCCTGATTGGAGTCTGATCACTGGGACTTCGGTCCATCAGCCTCTTTTTTTTTTTTTTTTTAAAATTTATTTCTTTTAAATAAAATCAATAAAGGAAGACCAGGCAAGAGAAGAGACATCCATGGGTGACTGTGTCACATAGAGATGATAGAATTGAAATGCCCTTTCTTCCAATATTGAGGAAGCTTCCCTGATCACCAAGATCTGTCTAAGACAAATTGCAAGTACCCTTCCAGTGACTCTGCACAGATCTGTCAGCATTCATGAGTGTATCCCATTAGGTGGCGTGGAGTTATGCTTGTCCAGTTTGTTTAGAAGTTCCCTGACTTAATCCTCATCCTCCAAGGGTAAGTCTTCCTTGCAATAGACTTTCCCACTGATCTCATGAGCCTGGGATTCCTGAAGAGTGTTTTTACCAGTAAAGACCAAAGTGAAGGAGACCTTGAACACCATGTCCTTTTATGTGTCTTTTGCCAAAGGGCAGCTGCCCTATTCAGCAGCAGGCCCACATTTTCCATAGCCTTTTCTTGTCCTTCGTGTGTCTCACCAGAAGCAATTCCAGGTGGGCTTTGGCTTTCCAAATCCCATCTCTGAACAATAGAGCAATGTCTTTGTGTTCCTTCTGTGTCACATTTCCCTGCTTTGACTCCTTTTATAGACCCTTTTTATATTTGATATTGATCTGGAGATCCTTGTTCATCCATGCAGTCCTCCTGTCACCTTTGATTTTCTTCATTTCAGAATGGGCCATTCTTGAACTTGGATGAGGTGATCCTAGAAAACCAGTAAGAAGCACAGCAGAGCAGAGAGAAGCCAACAAGCACAGAGCAACAGGCAGCAGATCTTATGCATGCAATTCAACTTCCAGGGCCACCCACTGCTTCACCACAGGAATTGGGATGGACTGAGTGTATCCTGCAGCAAGAATAAGGGAAACTGAGACTAAGAAGTAAGGAGGATATATTCTCTCTTTGTTGTCTAATACCTGGATCAATTATCAAAATTTTCTGTTAATTAGTAATTAATTAAATAAGAAAAAATTGCCTACTTTTTGCTTGTGATGCTAGCAAGTGCAATAGCCAAACATTCATTTCACAACACTATGGACATCCTTTGGCATAATCTGCTTTGATAAAGTGGAGGTACATTAAAGTCTTTGGCAACTACAGGTACACTCACTCCTTACACTGTCTGAGAACTCTAAAGAGGGTTCTGGTAGTAGTAGAGAAAAGCCAGCTAAGCAGTCGAACCTAAAGCAAGCTTTGACTACATCAATATGCTGACTACATCAATATGCTGATTAATGCAACTAACAGATATGTTGGTTTGAGTTTACTGCTGCACTTCTGTTATTACTCAGTTTTGAAACTACATCTGGTTTATATCTGTTTCGGAGCCGTGAAACAGACACACAAAGGACTGCGCCCATCTCTAGACATTTCCTACTGGGCTTGTTTCTACCATGCTCTGAGCATGACCTGCTGAGTGTTTGCTCTGTGAGGAACTAAAATTCTGGCCTCTGGTCTGACTATGGAAAAGCCTCTGAACATGTTGGAGAGAATGTCTGGACATGGACTCTGTGAAGGTTGAGAGCTGTAGAATACAGGAATTTTATGGGTATGACTAGAATTTTTGTTTAATTTGTGTGTATGTTTTAAAAAATGCAAATTCTGAAATTAAATAAAGAATAACAAAGAAGCAGTGTGAGTCTTTCTTCTGATACTGTTTCCAAACTTATTTTATGAGATTCAGAACAAGCTTAAGAACTCAGAAAGGGCAGGGTTGATCAGACGATCCCTCTATTATGTGGCCAAGAACAGATGCACATGGAGACATCCAGACACATTAAAAAGAGTATTCTGGCAAATCCTCGCAACAAACTAGATTACATGTCCATTTCAGTATTTTGTACTATCAGAGACTATTAATTCTCTGCTTAGCATCCTAAACATAGGAAGTCAGTGGGAACTGGAGTAGCAATACCTTCTAGGAGTAGGTCAACTTTTTTACCCCTTATTGGAGCTAAGTCATTTAGCAACCCAGGAACATCCCTGTTCCTTTTGGCTGTTTCTCTTGCCTTTTTGGCTTTTTTCTCCCCAGGTGCAAGGCAGGATGAGAACTTGCTGAGCTGGTTTTGAGAATTTAAAATGTGAAGAAAGGGAAATTAGATGCAGGTTGTGGTTTATATTGAAATAGAGATCAATGTCCAGCACTTTCAAGCATAATGGGTGTGTATACATTTTGGGAACAGTTCTCTGTTTGATGTCAGTTGGTCTGCTTGTGTAATTCTACCATACCTAGCCCAGATTCCTGTCTGCAGCTATGTTTATTTTAGAAAATGTCTCGGTATTAAAAAAAATCAAAACAAATATTTTGTCATTCTAGCACAGTTCTTAGAAAAATCAGGATGAGAATTCTGCTTCTTAAAAACAAAAGTCTGCTAGCTGATACACTGACTAAGCTAACTTAGTGGACCCATTGTTTTACCTACTACCACAAAGCAGCATGTGAAAAGAAAAGCACTGTAGAAGGCTGAGTGGCTTCTAGAGTGACTAGGTGATTTCTGATTACAACATCTGGGTATGAAATGTCAATGGGTGCTTCTAATCTTCATACTGAGGCTACTGCGCTGTCCCATGGCTTCTACTGGAAGAAGATCTGCTAGATGCTACTTCATTGTATATGGGGAAGAACATTTCTTGTTGTTGTTTATCTTGTTTGTATGTGGGGCAGTTATCTGTGATTGAGGAATCCCTTTTCACTTCTCTTTCCTCTAAGATTGTACTGAATTTGAAACTGGAGAAGTCTTTTGCAGTTGCTGTTGAGATCCAGAAAGAGTTCTGGGTATTATTGGAAGAAAATAGATCTCCAACATTACTTTTTTGTCCAAAGGGGATAGATTATAATCTATAGCAACAGATTCAGGAAGCTATGATGATGAAAATGATGGAGTATAGAAAATACTATACTAATGGCCTGTTATATAGAACCCTGGGCAATGGTGAGTATTACTTTGTCTTGGATCCTCTATTCACAGAAAATAAGTTATTGTAGTAAGTTCCCTTCTGGAAAGCTTTGTCTTGTGGGTGGATGTCTGCCAAGCTCCCCTGAAGACAGTTCTGTGCATTCTCAAAGTTTATAATCTTGAAGGATGCTTTCAAATACTTTGGTATTTACCTTGCCAAACAAGCTGAGAAATATCACTCTAAAAATAGCACTGTCTTTTGGCTGTGTACATGCTTTAGGTAAGACATTCCTAAAACTTGAAGTAATTAATAATTAAAAAAAAATTCTTCTGCAAAGCCGAAGAGGATTATCATTATTTTTCATTTTTATTGGTCTTTATTCCTTTTAAGGTCAAATCCTGACCACATTTTTTTTAATATACAATGGTTTAGGTTTTTCTTGTTCTTATTTTGACTTTATTGTGGTCCAAAGATCTTGGATGATAAAGATTCAATGAATAGAAATTTTATTTGGGAACTCTGAATTAAGCAGGATGAATTTGAGTTAGGTGCTCACTGTATAGAAGGATGAAAGGAATGTGTCTCAAAAGAGACAATATTCAAATTAACTTGCTCTCCTCTTCTCAAAAATGAAGTTCCCTGCCCCATCTATTGCTTATGGCTGCAGTTGAACTGGCAAGAGAATCTGATGCCTTGCTTCGTTGAAAGTACCTGCTGAAACATTAAGTACTTCCTACCACAAAAACAGAATGAATATTCAATTATTTGACCAAAATGTTTTTTGCTTGGGGATATTCTGTCATCCTTCTTGTCATGACATTGAGTCTGTGAAGATTCACTTTTGTTATATATGTGCTATGTACATGTTTTACAAATTAGGAAACATGAACTCTTCATTGGAAGGTGAGTTGATTTGTCAGCTGAACAAGCCTCGGAATAAAACAGAGGGCCAAAATCTACAAAAGGATTTAAAGTTGTAACTCCTTTTTAGGTACCAATGCTCACCATTAAATAAATGGAGGTCACCTCACAAACAGGGACTGAGACAAGGCAGAGGTGTTTAATGCTTTCTTTTTCCCTGTCTTCAACATGAATGATGGACCAAGGGGGTCTCAGTGCCCTGAGCTGGAGGACTATGACCGTGAGTCCCAGTCAACCCAGAAATTGTGTGGGATCTGCTGGGATCTCTACAAATCTATGAGGCACGATGGGATTCATCCCAGAATCCTAAAGAGCCGGCTGATGTCATTGTAAAACCTCTCTTGGTGATTTTTGAGCAGTCTTGGGAATCCAGAGAGGTCCCAGATGACTGGAAACTGGCAAACATTGTTCCAGTTTTCAAGAAGGGCAAGAAGGAGGACCCTGGGAACTACAGGCCTGTCAGTCTCACTTCAGTGCCTGGTAGTGGAGAAGATGCCTTATGGAGAAGATTATTCTGGGAAATATTGAAAAACACCTGAAAGACAAGGCAGTCATTGGTCACAGTCAGTATGGCTTCATGAGAGGAAAGTCCTGCTTATCCAACCTGATTTCCTTTTATGACAAGGTAACCCACCTTGTTGATCAAGGGAAGCCAGCTGATGTAATCTTTTTGGACTTCAGTAAAGCTTTCAATACTGGCTCTCACAGGATCCTTCTGGACAAAATTTCCAGCACACAACTGGATAAACACATCATGTGGTGGGTGAGCAATTGGCTCATGGTTCAAGCACAGAGGGTAATAGTGAATGGGGTGACATTAGACTGCTGACCTGTCATTAGTGGGGTTTCACAGGGCTCCATCTTGGGCCCTGTGCTCTTCAACATCTTTGTAAATGACAAGACTGGAAGGGATACTCAGCAAGTTTGCAGATGACGCAAAACTAGAAGGAGCTGTTGACTTCCTCAAAGGCAGAGAGACCTCGACATATTAGAGGGCTGGGCAATCACCAACCATGTGAAGTTCAACAAGGGAAAGTGCCAGATTCTGCACCTGGGATGGGGCAACCCTAGGTGTACGTACAGACCGGGGAATGAGATGCTGGAGAGTAGTGCCATGGAAAGGGACCTGGGGGTCCTGGTCAATGGCAACTTGAATATGGGTCAGCAGTGCCCTGGCAGCCAAGAGGGCCAACCATGTCCTTGGGGGGCATCAGGCAAAGCACTACCAGCTGGTCGAGGGAAGGGATTGTCCCACTCTGCTCTGCACTGGTGTGGCCTCTCCTGGAATATTGTGTGCAATATTGGGCAACACCATATAAGATATTCAGCCATTAGAGAGTGTCCAAAGGAGGGAAACGAAGATGGTGAAGACCTTAAGGGGAAGCCATGTGAGGAGCAGCTGTGGTCACTTGGTCTGTTCAGCCTGGAGAAGAGGAGACTGAGAGGAGACCTCATTGGACTCTACAACTTCCTCACAAGGGGAAGAGAAGAGGGAGACACTGATCTCTTCTCTGTGGTGACCAGTGACAGGACCCAAGGGAATGGCCTGACATTGTATCAGGGGAGGTTTAGGTTGAATATTAGAAAAAGGAGGATCGTTGGGCACTGGAACAGGCTCCTCAGGGAAGTGGTCACAGCACCAAGCCTGGCAGAGTTCAAAAAACATTTGGATGATACTCTCAGGCACATGGTGTGACTCTTGAGGTTGGTCCTGTACAGGCCTAATGGTTGGACTTGATGATCCTCGTAGGTCCCTTCCAATTCAGCATATTCTGTGATTCTGTAAAGACCTATGTGGATCTTGGCTTATATCTTGTTGATCCTCATGCAGTGCCTTGTTTTAATAATTTCTGTTTTTTGTAATCATCTCCATGTTTTGTGGAGTCCTGATTTATAGCTATTTCAAGATCCACCTTGTGATAAAAGAATGAAGGATGATTATAATTTCTGGGCTTTGAGATCCCATGTTGGTAATGTCTAACACACCTAGGCATTCATATGGGTGGTGCATCAGTATGCTGGCTTTGAAGGTGCCCTTGGACTGGACCCTGTGTGAACTTGGCTGCCTGTTAGCAGCATGACTACACAGTTTTAGTAAGCTTGGAAAGTTCCTTTAAAGGCATGCAAAAGGGAAAGGTCCCATTTCAGCACATTTTTACCAGTGACATAATCTTCTCTTAATATTTTTGTATATAAAGCATCGTGTCATTTACCAGGTCAAGAAACTCATTACCAAAGAATTTGTGCCTCTGACTCTAAGAGAGAGTGTTTTTAAACAAAGATTATTGTTGCTGTTCAGCAGCTTTCCTGGGTGTCTCGTTCTTTAGCTGATCCACATTCTTTCCCAGTGAGCAAGAAGATGATAAGGCACTAGTGCCTATTTATAACCGGCAGGGAGAAATACTTGCTTAGTGGTGCAGTACTTAGTGAAGGAAAAAAGGACAAAAAGCAGCCCAGTCCCTAAACACTTGCCCTGCGTTCTGCTGTAGGTTGATCCTCTATGTTGACATCCTTACTCCTCTGTGGAGGGCACCATGTGTGACTTGGCCTTTGAAAGCAAAATAAAACAATGTGCTCAGGACTGTGCAAAATGAGTCACCAGGAAACCATGTGTGCTTTTCATCTCCTGGAGGTTTTTGTGTTGACTTCTGTTTCTCTGAGAATGGCTATTTATATGATGGTAGTATTTTGAGGCCCTGATCCGAACTGAAGCCTGCATTGCTAGGCTGTGTCCAAACACATGGTGAGAGACAGGCTCTGCCTTTAAAAGTCAGTGATCAAAGAGACCCTGACAACAAAAAGATAGTACAG